TAGATATGCATGAATTTTTTTTTAAACAATAGCATACGTATTACAACACTGTGCGTAAATTACCCAAGGCAGCCTTTTGAGCTTGCATAAAAAATATGTCAAAATTAGTGTTTGGGAGAACAGTCTCACATCATTTGTGTTTGAGTTAGGGTGAAACAACACTTTGAGCAGTAGAGTAAACTATGGTTATAACGAACTAAAAGGGACCACTAAAGTTAGTTCGTCATAAACGTAGTTTGTTATGAGCAAAAAACCAAAAAACAGTTGGTTATATCCACCAGTTCGTTATCAGCGTGTTCGTTATAAAATGTAGTTTACTGTATGTCATTGGTGTCAAGGTGAGAAGATATACAGGTCGTAGACGTTTTCCAGTTTGTTGAAACACACAAACACAGATACGGCAGTGACAAACCTAGGGTCATGGTCAAGGTAAATGCAAGATTCTAACCCACAGTGAGTTACTATAATCTTACACTATATTATTCGCAACATACCAGCAAGACCATGGTGGGGACATCAGAAATGACTTCATATATTGTACCCATGTGTAGAATCAAACCCAGGCTTTCGGTGTGACAAACATTTGCTTTCACCAGTAGGCTGACATGCCTACGTAGTGTTCCAAAATAAGATCAAGGGCCCCATTCCACGGCCTTAGCACAATGACAGTCATAAGTCAAAGTAAGGGAGCTACGATCACCTTAGCACTAAGATCGCATTGTGGAAAGGAGCCCTGGTGTCCTTGAAGATACGTGCTGTTGTGTTTGAATCTTGGGATCCCAAAATTTCAGGTTTTAACATAAGGGACTCCAAAGTCCATACATATATGGAACACTAATATTCAAGGCTTTCAACAGTCATTTTCAAGGGTGTTTTAGTTGGGTAAATAGCCTAGTCTCTAAAGATCTTTTTTAATCGAGCATACCATATATATTACATAGTCATCAGACCTGAAAAGCAGTATGAATCACAAATTTTCCAACAAGATATATTTTCACACCCAACAAATAATAATATTAAGTCTGTCATGAATTGATACTTTTACGAACTAGTTTATTTCATTTTCTACAAATTCAAGACTTTTCAAGATATTTTGGTGATTTTCAAGGCTTTTGAAGGTTGACACTAAAAATCAAGGCATAAGAAAGTACTGTTCTGTCTAAAAAATGATCTGCACCTGGTGCACCCCTGTGTATGAAAAACACAGTTCAAATGACAATTGACATGTAATATTGTTGGACACCATCATGTGCTAAAACTTTCAATATCCTGACAACTCGAGCACCCAATAGCTCCAAGAGTCAAAATCCCTCAAATTTCTGAAACTGATTGGTGCATTAAAACTTCATTAAAGATAAAGACAAATGAAAACAGTTCCGATAGTTTTCACAAACGTACAAGTTTTCTCCGTTTTTTGAGCATTCAAATTACCATGTGTAAATAAAATTCAACAATGATTCCTGGGATATTGAATCACCTCTGTTTGAAGTCAACCGAAGCCTTTCTTTGAAAACCCACATCTCCATTGATTTAACTGATTTAGGGCTGATGACATTAAAGTGTATGGATATCACTGTCGGTTTAAGCAGTATCTCATTTCCGTGGGACATGGTGCTAGATAGATTTTTATTGGTTTAACTTTTTTCAAAAGAAGCACACATCAAGACAGACTTCATTACGAAGAATTACACACAAAACATTCTTGGTAAACTTGCTGGATTTTTAATCCTTTTTCCTGATCCAAGTCGAGAAAGTTGTGAAAATAAGTACCAAAAAAAAGTATCAAAAAACTTTTTTTTGTGAAATAAAATTTAACTGACTTTTGACATAAATGATGGGAGGAATTATTCAATGTGATGCCAAAAGACACGAGTGATTACACAACCATCAAGGTAATAAATCTCATTTGAAATTATGTAGTAGCCATAGTTGCAATAGAGTCACAATGCAAGATCTAGGCAACATTGAAGCCCATGAACATGGCTTGGATTAAAGATGAGGTGGGAATATCATACGTATCGCCTCACGACAAGGATGTAGTAACTACTGGCCTCTTGTCCCAAACTGTTTCTCATTTTCATTGAGAATTGCCAATTTCCACATCAAAGATTTGAACTGCATTCTCCTGCAGCCGACCGAATGATTTGATACCCCATCTAATCAGAGTTATTTCAGAAACCGTGCCACAAGGCAATTTTAATATTCCTTTTCCCATCAAACGAGCAATTCATCTTTGCATTGTGCGACACTGCCATGTCTTCCTTCTTTCTATTACCTTGTGAATCGGACGCCAAACACAATTTTTTGGTCTCAGCCGAGCTATTGCGCTGAATACCCTATAATGAGGCTGCCGGGAGGGAGAACCACAAGACCTAAGGCTTCCTTGAGAATCACACTCCCTCATGCAGTAAGGCCTTCAGGATGTGTTTTCATTATCAGACAAACGTTTACAAATTCCAGGTTGTATTTTTACTGGCTGCCTTCCATTGAACAAAACAGGTACAAAATAATTTCTGCAGGGCTTTTAGAAGGAAATTTGGATTTTTCTTCTTTTTTATCTTAAAGAGAAATACTGAAAATGACGAGTCCCATGCTACCGTTACCGGCACGCTTGAGCCTCATTGTCCACAGCAATTATAACAGATAACTTGGAATCAATTCTTTCCTAATTGCCAGATGAGAGAGCCAAAATCCTATTCTAGATGAGCACAAACAGTCCAATTGGACAGAGGATATTGTGAAAACGAATACATTTTTTCACAAGCCAGTGGCTTCTTCCATATTTATTTTTTTAAATCAATCTAAATTATGATTGATGCATATATTTATCTTCCCTAGAAGCCCTCACCATAAGGTATCAGGGGTGTTATGACACAGCTGCCTCATGATATGCTATGTGTTGTGATACTTAAATTGCAATGTTGTGGAGAGATATTTTCCATCGCCCACGTTGTCTGCAGCAATGCTGTCAGTGCTGTCCAGAAGGGGATGGGGGAAGCGGCCCTGAGGAGTAGTTACCTTGTCGGGGTTATTGTACATAGTTGTAAATGATACTCTTTTGATTGATACAGAATTTCAATATGAACTTCTACATGGGAGTAGGTGTGTCATGTATCATCATGTGTACATTCCTGATGCTTTCACACACGAGTGACTCATCACATGCCCATCAAGTTTTAAGCTCATATCTTTTGCTTTATTTTTAAAATTTTAATTTCATATTAAACTCAAAATATTAATACATCTTCAGTACATTTTACAAAGAATTTATGTCAAAATCTTCTGACATCTATTTACTAGTATTCAAAACCTCAAACTTCTGTAGATATTACATCATTTCAGTTCAGTCAAAATCTACTGATATCTATATATTAGTATTTCAAACCTCAAACTTCTGTAGATATTACATCATTTCAGTTCAGTCAAAATCTACTGATATCTATATATTAGTATTTCAAACCTCAAACTTCTGTAGATATTACATCATTTCAGTTCAGTCAAAATCTACTGATATCTATATATTAGTATTTCAAACCTCAAACTTCTGTAGATATTACATCATTTCAGTTCAGTCAAAATCTACTGATATCTATATATTAGTATTTCAAACCTCAAACTTCTGTAGATATTACATCATTTCAGTTCAGTCAAAATCTACTGATATCTATATATTAGTATTTCAAACCTCAAACTTCTGTAGATATTACATCATTTCAGTTCAGTCAAAATCTACTGATATCTATATATTAGTATTTCAAACCTCAAACTTCTGTAGATATTACATCATTTCAGTTCAGTCAAAATCTACTGATATCTATATATTAGTATTTCAAACCTCAAACTTCTGTAGATATTACATCATTTCAGTTCAGTCAAAATCTACTGATATCTATATATTAGTATTTCAAACCTCAAACTTCTGTAGATATTACATCATTTCAGTTCAGTCAAAATCTACTGATATCTATATATTAGTATTTCAAACCTCAAACCTCTGCTGATAGTTTGATACCCATGCCTGGAACAATTCACTAGAAATAATACCTGCTTGTTACTAACCTATTTCTTTACCATATAAAAAAGCAGTTATTAGTAACACAGTTTAAATATTTGACAAACCATCTACATTTGGTGAACAACTTTTAAATCAAAATTTAAATATATTCACTTGAAGTCAATAATCTGCTATTTCACTCTATAATGAATTTGTTCACCCAAAATAAATGGTTTTACAAAATAATGATATGCATGTTTTCACTACAACTACACCATACCTACGAAGGGCCTTGTGTTTCCTGGACAACAAACATTCAAAATAACAAACCATTCTGTAAACCATTGAAACAATCATTCTCATGTCAAGCAATCAAGCAAGGAGATGCTTTTGAAATAATGTAACTGTGATATGAAAAAGATCAAGCATACCATTCCAATATGCATCAAAATGCACTGAACTATTAAACAAACATTCAGAAATAAAAGATGTTACAATATTTGATGCTGCAATGTTAATCTAGACTATCTCACAATCAACAGGAAGAAGACCATACCCTTCAACGTAGGCTAACACTGACAGTGACATGCTTTCTCTCCATATAGTACTGACGTTGATGTTCAAAAGAAATCTAATACCTCTGAACAACTGACGTTGATGCTTCAAAGAGACATCAAATGCCCCTGCATAACTGACTGTGATGTTTCAAAAGCCATCAAATCCCCTGAATAGCTGTTTCTTATTTCTAGCAATAAGTTTTTCAAATCCCAAAATGTAACCAAGGACACTTTTAAACAATCTTTTTCTGTCATCTTCAAAACCTTCCTCTCGCACATTTGCCATCATACTAATAAATGTGTGAATTTCTGAGTTTCCCCCAAAAAATATTCATTCAGGTTTCTTTAAAAAACAAACATTTTGCCTCCTTCCCTAAAATAACATTAACCAGTAGAAGGGTATGTCCTTCTGGCAAGTCTACCATAACAAGAACCAAAATCACAAATACCTGTGCATTGTATCCATGACGCCCAGAAGTTGTTTCCTAGCAACCACCAGTTTGTCAGAAAAATGAGGTTCAGTCTTGAGGTAGACCTGGATCTCACCAGCAACCTTCAATACAGCAGAATGAGAGTTAGTGAGATGGGTTGACACCACTCTGAACAGTAGTTCCGGTATATCCTGCCATTAGCTCAGTGTCAGGTGTTAACAGCTTGGAGTGGGAGGAAGCCACAAAAGATCTCAGACTCTTACTGAGGTATCCAGAAAGAACTCAAGATCTGAAGGCTGGTTCAAGAGCCATACATCTTTTCTTCCTTTCAATTGTAAAGACATGAACTTCCTGCAAGGATCGGTCCAGGAGGACCACTGAAGAGGATGTTGTTTCAATCTTACTTTCTTAAACACTCTAGTGAGTGTGTAACTTGACCAATGGACTCCCTATGAATATGTTTGTTTGTTTGTTGTTTAACGCTGCACTCAGCAATATTCCAGCTATATGACAGCAGTTTCGAAATAATCAAGTCTGGACCAGACAATCCAGTGATTGACATCATGAACATCGATCCACGCAATTGGGATACGATGACATGCATGAACCAAGTCAGAGAGTCTGACCACTTGATCCAGTTAGTCGCCTCTTATGTCAAGCTAAGTCACCTTTTACGGCAAGCACGGGTTGCTGAAGACCTATTCTAACCCGGATCTTAATGGGTCCCCTATGAATATGGAAAGAGTTTGTCATTTTATTGCATTATCAGTTTGAAAAGATGATGCATGGTAATTCCACTGGACAAGGAGAACAGGGTCACACAAGAACAGATCAGTCTTACTCCTTGTAACTGTTCAGAGTGTTACCCCTGCTCTGTAATGCAGGTCTCTGCACAGTTCATCCACTGATAGGACCTCAAAAGGATGTGCTTTCTCTACCTTCATCAACACACTGTAAGTGTTGGAACACTGTTGTTGGCCAGTAGGAATAGACCTAAAAGAGCCTCACAATAGGTGAAGTGTCATACCCTCTCCTACCCTTTAACACTATACAATCCTTCTTACCTTCATCACCACACTGTAAGTGTTGGAACACTGTTGTTGGTCGGTAGGAATAGACCTAGAAGAGCCCCATGATAGGTGAAGTGTCATACCCTCTCCTACCCTTTAACACTATACAATCCTTCTTACCTTCATCACCACACTGTAAGTGTTGGAACACTGTTGTTGGTCGGTAGGAATAGACCTAGAAGAGCCCCATGATAGGTGAAGTGTCATACCCTCTCCTACCCTTTAACACTATACAATCCTTCTTACCTTCATCACCACACTGTAAGTGTTGGAACACTGTTGTTGGTCGGTAGGAATAGACCTAGAAGAGCCCCATGATAGGTGAAGTGTCATACCCTCTCCTACCCTTTAACACTATACAATCCTTCTTACCTTCATCAACACACTGTAAGTGTTGGAACACTGTTGTTGGTCGGTAGGAATAGACCTAGAAGAGCCCCATGATAGGTGAAGTGTCATACCCTCTCCTACCCTTTAACACTATACAATCCTTCTTACCTTCATCACCACACTGTAAGTGTTGGAACACTGTTGTTGGCCGGTAGGAATAGACCTAGAAGAGCCCCATGATAGGTGAAGTGTCATACCCTCTCCTACCCTTTAACACTATACAATCCTTCTTACCTTCATCACCACACTGTAAGTGTTGGAACACTGTTGTTGGCCGGTAGGAATAGACCTAGAAGAGCCCCATGATAGGTGAAGTGTCATACCCTCTCCTACCCTTTAACACTATACAATCCTTCTTACCTTCATCACCACACTGTAAGTGTTGGAACACTGTTGTTGGTCGGTAGGAATAGACCTAGAAGAGCCCCATGATAGGTGAAGTGTCATACCCTCTCCTCCCCTATAACACAATTAGATCCTTCTTACCTTCATCAACACACTGTAAGTGTTGGAACACTGTTGTTGGCCAGTAGGAATAGACCTAGAAGAGCCCCATGATAGGGGAGGGGTCATACTGTATGCATATCTTCTATTTTTCAACATAATACAATTCGTCTTACCTTCTTCAACACACTGGTGAGTGTGGGAACACTGTTGTTGGCCGGTAGGAATGGGTCCAGTAGGAACTCGTGAAGGTTTGGGTGTGGTACAAGGGCCACTCTGGCTATCACAGATGTCAGCACTAGGTTTATGGTGTATGTCTGCAAAACAATCATTCTAATATTTCAGAAGAATCAGTTTACAGATAAATGGTTACATTTCTCATTCAACATGTGCCACAACCTCGCGCCTATCTGCTGATAACACTGCTTCAACATCAGGCAACAGTGGAGTTCACACAAAACTTTTTAAATTAAGCTCCTTTGACTTCTTTGAGTTTCATTAGTGACTAAAACAAGATATAATCCTGTGCTGGTGGCTTTCATCAAATTGGTCAATATCTGATTCTCGTCGAGACTTAATTATTTACAGACAACTGTCATATAGCTGGAATATTGCTGAGTGCAGCGTTAAACAACAAATAAACAAATCCTGGATGATGGTGATGACTAGTGAGTGAGTGAGGATGGTTTTATGCCGTTTTTAGCAATATTCCAGCAACATCACAGAGGGGGACACCAGAAATGTGCTTCACACATTGTACCCATGTCGGGACCGCGGTCTTCGGAGCGACAAGCGATGCTTTTTACCACTAGGCTACCCGACCGCCCTGATTCACAGATGTTACCCATGTTAAATTTTGAATCGAATTTCAAAAAGTTTTATTTCAAAAGTGTTGGAATAACATGGCCTGATAACTTTTCATGGGAGTATTGCCGAGTGCAGCGTTCAACATCAAACAAACAACTCCTGGATGATGGTGATGACTGGGTACCTGTTTGAGGAGCTTGCTCAGCCTTGTCAGCAGCATGTGGAGGAAGTCTCCCTCGTAGAACACATCCATCTTGTACTGCTCCATCCGTACCGGCTTGACAGGCCACCCCCAGGACTTGCTCCCATGCTCCACACAGCTGAACTACAACACAAGGTAACCAGGAATATTAATGGATCACAACTTACGTGTCCTAGTCTCCACAAACTGAGCGAGTACCAGGTCCTGCAATTCGGGCAAGAGGCCGGTATCAGGTGCTCAGGCTCGCTGACTTGGTTGATGCATGTCATCGATCCCAATTGTGTGGGTCGATGCTCATGATATCATTCACTGGATTGTCTGCTGCGATTATTTACAGACCACCGACATATAGCTGGAATATTGCTGAGTGCGGCGGGGTTAAACAACAAACAAACCAGCCAACTAACAGGATGCACTAAGGTCTTCACATTGTACTAATATGGGGGAACTGACCCAGTCCTCAACAGTGAGTGAGTGAGTGAGTGAGTGAGTGAGTGAGTGGTTTTACACTGCTTTTAGCAACATGCCAGCAATATCACAGCAGGGGACACCAGTTATGGGTTTCACATAATGTACCCATGTGGGGAATCGAACCTGGGCCTTTGACATGATGAGTGATCTCTTAACTACAAGGCTACCCCACCTCCCCCTCAATATCAGAGTAAATGGACATAACACATTGAGCAGCTGTTCAAGCCTTCTTTTCAAGCTTGTCAGAATATATTTGTGGGGGTGGGGTTTTTTTAACAAAGATTGGGTTGGAAGGTATTAACAGCTAAACGTTTAAACAGAAGCATTGACAGATGTTGAAGTGTGGATCAAAGCAGCACACCATACACTTCAGCATCATGACGATGACTCAATATTCAACCAGTCATCATCTGTGTGATATCATAACACATAGAATGACCTTCATACAAAGAAGATTTGAAACCTGTTGGGAGCTGAGTAAGAGCAGGTCCAACCACACAATTGCTGGTCGGAAGAGGCAATCCATGACTTGCAGGGCTGTTACAATTCACCGATACCTACGATATCATCGATACCTAGGTACACACAATACTAGAATTGTCAGTTTGTGAGATGGTGATACACTATAAATAGAACAGGAACTAACAGAGTTACCTCCCATAAATGCAGAGGTAGTGGCACCTGTAAGCGTGAAGATCTGGGGTGGAATAGGTCTTCAGCAACCCAGCTTGCCGTAACTAGTGACTATGCTTATTGTAAGAGGCGACTAACGGGATTGTCATCGTATCCCAATTGTTCATGGACCTGTGAAGATCTGGGGTAGAATAGGTCTTCAGCAACCCATGCTTGCCGTAAAAGGCGACTATGCTTGTCGTAAGAGGCGACTAACTTGATCGGGTGGTCAGACTCGCTGACTTGGTTTATGCATGTCATCGTATCCCAATTGTGTGGATCGATGCTCATGATTAATCACTGGGTTGTCTGGTCCAGACTCGATTGTTTACAGACCGCCGTCATATAGCTGGAATATTGTGGAGTGCGGCGTTAAACAACAAACCAACCCACCTGTAAGCATGGCAGAACGCGAGGACTAAGTAGCTGAGGATGTTTTGTTCTTGTGGTTTTCTTTGCTCAAGTATTGCGAAAATAATAAATAAATGTATAAATAAATAAATAAACGTAAATCAAGAAATATGTGATTTCATCAATTCTTTCTATTTGATGTGTATTGTGATACCAGTGAGTCCTCATCGTGAATCATATCGCAGGACACCAGGAGACTTGGCTGATTGTGTGTCTATGTACCCTGATGATGCTCATGATATCAAACACTTGTTTCGCTGACCGAGATGATGGCCCATGTTGATACAGCTGGGATATTGCTGACTGCATCATTAAACAGCATCCTCTCACTCACTGACACATCATTTGATTTGAAGCAAACGTGTTCAAAGAAAAATATATGATCAATCCATTACCCCAAACGGAAATCTACAGCAACAAAGGATATCAAATAAGACTCACCCACGATGCTGTCTCAAAACAAAGGACATTTCTCAAACATGACACTTGTAACTTTCCACAGATGTGACATTACCTAATTTGCACCAAACTCTATAATACAATCGCTGACACAGTTGACGTACATCTTCAATCATCCCTTTAATTCCTGCTAAAAACTTCCCTTTTCAAAATTCCATTATTTTTATTGAGGTGAGATGTAGATAGCCAATATGTCAAAGACCAAGAAAAGTGTGTTCCTCGTGTCCCACACTGACAAGCTAAGCCGATCATATCCCTGAACAAGCTATTCCTGACAGTCTCCATCCACTGCATCATCTCACCTGTCTTGTGGCATCACGGAGATACATGTCGTACCCACTGTCCGCTGTCTGGTACGAAGACTTAGCTTCCTCTGGCAGCATGGTCAGGAAACTGGAACCAATGAGAGATGCTGCATTGCCGTGTACGGCCTAACAAGGTTACTACCTGTCTTATTGTATTACACTAATCATATCATATCAAATTATGCAGCTGCCGCAGACACATTGAATTGACACATGTGATGGACACATATTTTTGTAATCGATTCCTAAGGTGTGCAGAAACCCCTTATTGAATTATGATAAACAAATTCTACATACTGTTAGACACAGATCCGTGATCCACATGTTGGGCATTACTCTTATTCAATTAAATTTCACTTTTGTTCAAGATATTGTACATCTGTTTGAAACATCCAATTTCAATTTCATTCTTTTAATGACTTTTTCAGATTTTTTCTCATACCTGTTGACGACCTTGTGAACTTCAGGTCGTACATATGCTGAGTCTGCAATAAAAGTTAAAACATTAGTTAACAATTGCAACAAAACATATAGGATATGAAAACATTCTTTTCTAGGTCATGGCGTATTGAGTCTCTCCTTAAGACTCCTTAAGGACTAAACCGAGATTGTCTATTTCCTTCCCACGGCATCCTTCAGGACTAAACCAAAAGAGCCACTCCTTTTGCCAGCACTGAAACAAAAAGTCTGAAATCAAGATGGTCAAAATCAAATTTAACAGATTTTCCATTTATTCTCAATTAATGCTGTCAACAAAGACCCACATGGCAAGCTCAGCACCTCATCCTCTCCACCGTGAATACATTTCAATGTAAATTTCATCTGAACCGAGAGTCATCCAGTGTCAATCACAAGTGTCATTGACGACAAACACCCATCCAAATCTTGGCGCTTTGTGCAAATTTCCATCTTTCTTTGTCCGGTACGGCACGAGCATGAAATCATCCTTGTTACTCAAGTTTGCATAAATCATTACGTTCTCATCATTCCAAAGTTGAACTGATTTCTGCCAAATAATTAGATCTAATTTGATAAGATGCCGAAGAAATATTAGATGAAGTGCTTGCATTTGGACAGGGGCGAAAAAAGTCGGCAAATATAATCATGCTTTAATTTACGTGTTAACCAACTTCTCATTAGTGATGGCATGTGAATGGAGGTTTTTCTCAAAAGAAGGCATTTGCACAAAGAATTAACACAGCAATGTCAATTATACAGCCTGTTATACTATTCTGGTAGCACGATGACATCACAGCTATTCCTTATTTGCACAGAACAAGCTCTTGGTCCAAATATCATGAGAGAGAGTGTTATCTTTTGAAACTGCCAGTAGTGTTTACTTATACAAGACTTGTATTAGAATTGAAAATGGTTCTTGACAAAATTTGAAAACACTTGACAGATCTCTCCAAAGCTTCAATAAAGTACTATATTTGTATTGTTGCTTTATCTCTCTGTCGCAAAGAGGATGCTGACTTTATTAGTGCCTAAAGTCCTGTTTATGTAGAGCTACTTAAACTAATTCGAGCAAAACCACATCACTTTGACCTGGAACACTGATGCCGATCCACTGCTGCATCCTTAAACCTCTTAGTACTGTATAGGGAATAACAATGGCTGTGATGGAAGCAAAGGCTTTTGGCTAATATCACCATGTGATAACATGTGAGGTGAGGTGAAATGGGGTTTAACGTCGCGTCCAAGATTATTGCACTTATATAGCGACGTGCATGTACATGTGTGTGTTTGTGTGGCTGCTTGTACTAGTCCGGACTGATGCCGATTTATAGTGCTAGCCCACTGAGATACCATGCCGCAGTTTAACATGAATACTCCACTCAGACACAGTATACTGACTCCAAGCCGTCCAGTCCTTGTTTTAGCCCCTTAATGCCGAGCCCCAGACAGGGTAACAACAAGTACCATCTTTTAACGTCTTTTGGTATGACGCGGCCGGGGATCGAACCCCGGACCTTCCGCTCTCAGGGCGGACGCTCTACCACTAGACCACGGAGGCGGTCCCTATGTGATAACAACTCATTCCTGCAACATATACACTTATGGACCAGCCCCATTATGATTTAGGTTAGAATTGATCTTCAGCAACCCGTGCTTGTTGAAAGAGGAGACTAAAGGTAATTGGCATCAGGCTCAGCCCATTGCACATCATTAGTATCCCAATTGCATGTATTGATGCTCATGATGTCAATCTCTGGATTGTTTGGTCCAGACTCGATTATTTACAGACCGCCATCATATAGCTTGAATTTTGCGGAGTGCAGCATTTAACAAAAAAAAACAAGCTTATGAACCAGGACCCTGTATTATTAAAACATCTCTAACCAACATTCTATTCCGGTGAGAAATATACCCAAACTTCTGCAGGGTGTAAATGGTTGATTTTCTTCAGTCTTACATTGCAGACTGGCTGGTTTAATGTTCATGCAATCTGCAATAAATAAACAGTTTGAAAATCAAGTGTGCCTCCTGTCAGCCTGGGACCCCGATTTTCATTCCTTGTAACCCCCCCTCGCGAGAGTCCATGGATTGCTGGACTCGGGGAAATCCCTGCTTACGGACAAAAGTAACAATGCTCATAGAAATTCATGGATACATGAAAATTAGCAGTCATTTCAAGTTACAGACGATGTAGCTTTAGAGATGGGTCAATCCTTCTATGAATCACAACAAATCGCTTCGTATGATTGTCCTAGGTCTGTTGAAATTGTTTTTATGCATTTGACCAGTACATGTAGTAGTATCACGACCTGGTAGGTTGTTTATAGGAGAAAAGCCTGACGAGATGCAGATGTTAACAACATCTAACCACCCACCACAGATTTGTGTCTGACAATCAAGTCATTGACATCATGAGTATCAATCCACGCACTTGGGATACGATGACATACATCAACCAAGTCTGACCACCCGATCCACTTAGTCGCCTCTTACGACAAGCATAGTCGCCTTTCCAGCGAGAATGGGTTGCTGAAGACCTCTTCTACCCTGGATCATCACAGGTATGGTGCTCACATTCAACCAAGGATTATCATGATCATAATTAGGATGAACCTGGTGTTCCAACCCACGAGTGAGTGAGTGAGTTTGGCTTAACGACTCTTGAACCTTTTTTTTATATTTTGAAAAAAAATTGGGGGGGATATTGAAGAATGAGAGCTTGATTTTGGAGAAATGTTGAAGAGATGTTCACCACTTGGGTGAAGCCCACAGCCAGGTATGGTGCTCATAAACCAAGTATTACAATCAGGGTAAATGTGGGATTCAAACAATCATAGGATCCTGCTACACCAGAAGGGCACTCACTATTCTGCACTGTGAAATGGAATACCTCAGGAGACTGGCATAAAAAGGTCACATAAAATATAATGGGAGGAGTGGTCGGGTAGCCTTGTGATTAAAGTGTTCGCTTGTCACACCGAAGAGCCGGGTTCGATTCCTGACATGGGTACAATATGTGAAGCCCATTTCTGGTGTTCCCTGCCGTGATATTGCTGGAAAAGAGGCGTAAAATCATACTCACTCCCTCACTCCTGTAATAGGAATTGAAAATAGTTCCATGTAAGAAGAGAATTTAACAAAGAACTTAACAAATGCTAATGAGAAAACGAATACGCAAGTTTGAGAAGAAGCTTTCTTTACTTAATCTCTTGCTTATGCAGCTTTCGAAATTTATGCTAGTCTGCTAGTCAAAGACTACTAAATTGTGCTGAGGACAAGTGAAAATCTAAAGATGGTCCTCTTCATTGATTCATAGCATTTGAAGGCTTTAATTCTGAACCAGTTTTCAACGCTTTAATTCTGAACCAGTTCTCAACGCTTTAATTTTGAACCAGTTCTCAACGCTTTAATTTTGAACCAGTTCTCAACGCTTTAATTCTGAACCAGTTCTCAATGCTTTAATTCTGAACCAGTTCTCAATGCTTTAATTCTGAACCAGTTCTCAATGCTTTAATTCTGAACCAGTTCTCAACGCTTTAATTTTGCTATAAATTGGAACTGAAAATGTAAACACTGTAAACATATTTGCCTTGTTCATGCAGGACTTACTACAAACCCTGAGGACTACCGCAATAAAGTTTCACTAGTCCTAAAAAGCTGAATTTCTACGGCTGCTCATGAGTCCTATCTTCACCTTGACGTAACACCAGCCCAGTTTACATCTTCTAATTGATGAGGATGACTTAGATATGCTTTGAATGATTACCAACCATAAATCATTTTTCCGTCCTCACGCACAAAGTATACATAGAAATATGTGTAATGATCACAAGAAAAAGTCATCAATCATTCACTCCTATCACTGATGTGACAGATATCCGGATGCATGTAAAAGTACACACTGACATGATCATGATGATAAAAACAGTTATAAAGTTCACATATGTACTATTATGTCTGCTTCCACAAGTCACATGACACTTCGTCTAAAATCAGTAGTGCCACTCCAGATTCCAGTGCCAAAGCCTTTAGGTGACGTAACATGCCTTCAGCAGAGATACAGGTACTGTAGTTCACCCTGCACTTCTTGGTTGGTCTTAAATCAGGACTGGAAGCACAAGATACCTCAAACACATTCAAATTTTCCATTCAGTTTCAGAATAAAAGGGTTCTTTTTTACCTTTAGCATTCTTTTCTCAAGAGTATTGTTTTTCTGTTAAATTATGTTGACAGTGTTCACAGCTGTATGCTTTCAGACAACCAGAATGCATGAATCATGCCATGTTACCCAGGCAGACAATGCCGGCACACATGCCAAGGCGACAAAGTTCAGTAAAACTTCCCCAAGGAAGGCAAAGCAAACAATGAGAGCATTTAATCTGCCTGATGGTCATATTTAGAACAGATATCACAACTGTTATTTCACTTACAGTGTACAAATGTGGTAATCTATTATGGACAACAGGCCAGGAATGTGGAAAATCAATGCCCATCTTGTGAAATTGCTGGAGAAGCTAAAAAATCATTCTCAGATACCCCCTGGGCAACCTTAAAATTTAGAAGACCTTCTGTCAACTGGGTATCTTTTCATGGCTTTAATCAAAGTGCTAAAATTATTTGATGTACTTCATGAGGTAAGACCTGTTTTATTCCAACATAGAACTTGATTATCGATCTGATCGTGACTTGACTGGGTGCCGCCAGTTTGTTTGAAGCAAATTCAAATGCAACTGATATGAGAGGTGGAATCTGATTGGTCAATAGAAGGGGCATAACTCGTAATAGCCACTGGTGGCGCTATGATTGGGCCACAAAATTCCAGCCTAGTTTGGGAAGGGTGGAAACTGGACTTTTGCAGTCAGTGAACTCTTTTTTCTCAGGACGATGATAGTCACAATGTATACAGTATTTCTGTCCACTATCTAAAGGATAACATAAAAGAAACTCGACATTCGTTACAATTGTTCAAGCCAGCAAAAATGATTTTTTTGTAACGGAAGTCCAGTCATACATGCATTATCAGACT